TCAGCACTTCTGCAAACAGGTCACCTTGGGACAGCCTGGCCAACGGCCACGGAGTGTGGCCAAGTTCCTGGTTAGCAAGTGTTTCTGTGTGATGAACGTCAAAAGGCAGAACAATAAACAGAGCCCCCCAACACAGACACACCCCAAAATGAACACCCTGCGTGTGCCCCAGTCCTGCTTGTACAGAGTGGTGTTAATGAATGATGGACGGGGTCCAGGGTGCCCCCACCACACACACAATGCCCAGCCTGGGTCAGGAGGGAACGGGGAGGAGGGGAGACACAGCGCTGGGCACTGGCAGGACCAGGGGAGTGCTGGGAAGGCGACCAGCCTCTGGTTTCAGCCCAGGGAACTCAGAAACCCGGGGGACACACAGTAGATCCATAATTGCGGGGGGCAGGGGGCGAGGGTGGACCCTAAGATCTAAAACTGAACAAATGACCCAGAAATCAGAGTCCACAGAAACATGTTCCAGGTTTGGGTGCTCAATTCAGTCACAACAATGAACAGGATTCCACATTTGGTGTGTGTGCACGTGTGTGTGTGCACATGTGCATGTGTGTGCACATGTGCATGTGTGTGTGTGTAGCCAAATGACAGAGCTTTGGGTTGGGTGATATTTCTGTCTTACACTAAGTTCCTCATGTCAAATAACTGCCAACGGCATAAGATGTGACTCCATGACACTGACCCAGAGCGCCAGGCCTCCTGAGCTCAGTGCCCCTACCTGGGGACCACGGTGGCCATTCCCCGGCCCCACAGGCTGAAGAGAACACTCAAGTTTATGCCCATCTTGATGGGAAGTTGACTTCTCAAGAAAATAATCCCTTCGGGGGCTGAGAAGGGGAAGAAAAACAGGCTCAGGTGTGTGGGCTTAGATCAATAATTTTTCTCTGAAAACAAAACAAAAAAAAACCCCACCAGGACCTTAACGGCATCACCGACTGCAGGCCCCGCCCAGGCCTGGGAGACAGGTCACCTGTGGCCACAGAGCCAGAGTCTGGGTGGCTGACCAAGAACACACCCATAACCACCTTCTGAGCTGGCTCTAAACACCGTCAGGAAACATTTTCGCTTCAAGTAAAATTAGGGTGTCTTGTTGGTTGGGGAAGGGGACAGAAACCTAAGACTGGCCCAAGTAGTCCTTTGACTTTACAAAGATTTCCGCCAGAGGGACCCAGAAAATCTAGCACTGGTTGGTCAGTGGTGGTAGAGCAGGAAGCAGAAATCTACCAGGTGGGCCAGACGGATGCCACACCTGCCCAGCCCAGCACCCCGCTGTGCACGACGAGAAGCGCCCTGGCCCTCCAAGCCAGTCTGAGTGTCACCCCACAAGTTACTCATTAATCGTCGAGGGGTTGAACACTCCTGTATGGAGGAGGGGCCTGGCAGGCACACCTTCACCACGTGACCCAGCAAAGGGCCGCCCGGGCACCACGGACCCTGCTGTGGGCATGGAGTGCCCAACATCACCTGTTGTGTTTTTGACCCAAAACCGTTTCAGCTGCATCTAGTCATGGAAACACAATCGGACCAATCGGAGGGTGGGGTGTTCCACAAGCCCTACGTGCCCACGTAACAAAGGACAAAGGACTCGTCTAGAGTAAATGAAGAAAAGCGAGGATGACCGAGGGCCACGTGTGAGTCAGTGGACCCTGGGTCCCGTATGGGACATTTGGGGATCATTAGGGAAGCCAAAAAGGGACTTTGAATTAGATAATATGTAATATTTAAAGAAAGGGGAGAGACAGGGAAGGGAGAAAAATATCATATTCAGAGAAGAAGGCAGGAGGGAAGGATAAAAAGTGTGGCACAATATTAAACGCTCACTGTACTATTTGTTATTATTCCCTTAACGTTTCAGATGTAACAGAATCTGCGGGGGAGTGTGCTGGGACATGCAGGCTTCTGGCACAGACCCTGCTCACCTTTATCACCTGGACACACACCCAGACAGGTGTGGCTGGGCGGCACCATTCCCAGCGCCCAGCTCATCCCGCTGTGTGACCTTGGGCATATTTCTGGGTTTTTCTTGTTTTTTAATCATTGATTTGAGAGAAAGAAAGAGAAACGTCACATCATTGCTCCACTTATTTATGCCTCCATTGGTTGCTTCTTGTATGTGCCCTGACCGGAGATCGAACCCGAAATCTTGATGTATCGGGACAATGTTCCAACCAACTGAGCTACCCGGCCAGGTGGGCATATTTCTTAACCCGTCTGACCCTCGGTGCCCTTATCTGAGAACTAGTAATAAGAACAGTGCCTATTTCATCAAGTCCTTGGGAAAATTAAACGGCTTGGAATAAACTGTGCCAACAGAACAAGACCCGGCCCCTGGCAAGCAGTGTTGAAGTATTAGATACGACTGTGAGAGCTAAGTCTATTCATTCTAGCAGTTTTTATTTTAAAAACTATTTTTTAGATATGTTTTTATTGATTTTTTTATATATATAGAGAGAAACATCAATGTGAGAGAGAAACATCAATTGACTGCCTCCTGCACACCCCCCACCAGAGATCTAGCCCACAACCCAGGCATGTGCCCTGACTGGGAATTGAACCGGGACCATCCCAGTCCCTGGGATGACACTCAATCCACTGAGCCACACCAGCCGGGCTAAAAATTTTTAACTGCCTTCGGGAAGCACTAACAGGGCACATGATAACTGCGCCCTGATCCTCAGAGCTCAGTTAGGAAGCCAAAGGCTCACCTGTTCCTGTAGCCCTCTTTCAGCCAGGGAGGGGGAGGGGTACAAAGAGCTTCTCACCAGGCCCAGCCCAGGGCCAGCTGTGCCAAGGTGGGGTGGGGGAAGTGGGGGCCCCCTCACTGCTGCAGGGGCTGAGCATCGCCCAGGCTGGGCCCAGGGTAAGCCAAGAAAAGCCTGCGGGAGACCAGGAACAGCTGGTCTTGGTGGTGTTTTCAACGTTCTCAGTGTGATGCTCTTACACGTGCAAATGAGAAATGGGAGAAGTTAAAACAATAAAGAGCAGCGACACAGCGGGAACCTCAGCAGTGGGAGACCAAGAACATGTATTTTCTTTAAAAAAAAAAAACACGTAATGAGTCTTTAAATACTGCCTACACTACTGCCAACACCGGCAGATCTCAGTCCTACAGAAATGCCCTGGGACCCACACCAGGGCCCATTGTGCACGGTTTGCAGAGAAAGGCCATGTGGCTGTCCTCTCAACAGCTGAGAGGCTACCTCGTTCAGGCAGAGCCCACAGCCACACCTCGGAGCACCATGCAGTCAGGAAAAAGGACAAAGATGCCTTGTTAAGCAGACACATGGGACAGAAGCCTGAGATGGAAATGTTTGCTAGGGTCCTATACTTGTTTGGTAAATGCCCACTGGAAGCGTGCAAACCCATTAAAGAGGCTGGAAAGAGTCACACTCACATGGGGTGAGAGCGGCCAGTGGGGGAGGGGAAGGCTTGCACATGCTGTCTGCACACTTCTGCATTGTTTGAGGAGTTTCACAACTGGCAGCCTGGGACTGTGTGGGAGAGGGCGGGAGCCGCCGGCCTGGATGTGCCCCAGACAAAGTGCTGGCCCTTGGCCAGCCCGGCTTTGCCCTGGGAGACAGAGAATCCGGCCACTATCCTGCACTCGGCCAGGCTGCCTTCCCAAGGCACCATGGGCACCTGCAAGGGGTCTGCGAGCAGTGTGCCTGGGAACGTCCAGAGTGTGTGGTGGGGGAGTCATCTCACTTATGATGGAACCCCTTGTTCAGTGGGTAAAAGATAAGTTTCAGACTAACCCCGCCCAAACTAGAACAGGAAATGGCTGAGAGAATGCAATCTGACTGCTTCCCACCCCCACCCCAAACAGGGCAGGTGACCAGGACCATCTCTGGGGGTCTGCAAGAGGGAGGGCTGTGCACGGCATGGTGCCCACCTTTCTGGCCAGACCCCCAGAGCTGTGGAGATGGGCAGCGTGCAAGGAGACGTTCCGGCTTCCTGGCGAAGGAGGGGAAACAGGACACAGAATTCATTCTGAAAACAACCCTTGGTGGGGACCAGTAGGTAGAAGTGGATTTGGGGCATCTCTGCCAAGAAGGACTGAGTGGCCAGTCCACTGGGGGCCCACCAAGCCCCACCACTCCAGACAATGGCAGAAATCCCCAGATGCAGGACCTTGGGGCTCAGGGGTTGGGTCCGCCCTCTCAGGACCCAGGCCTCACCTTCTCTGCAAGTCTGAATTTTCACATCAAAGCCCTTCAGCCTCCAAGAAAATCTGCTCCTGGTCTTGCTATTTATTCTTCAAAGCCAGTCTTAGCAAACTTCCCAGGTCTGGGCTGGGAAGCTCTGACCAACCAAACAAGTTACAAAGATATTTATGTCTCTTTTGTTTTATCAGGCGTTTGCTATAACATCAACAGTTATCTAGCTGTGACGGAGGGTAATCAGTCCACAAGACGGCAGCTGGGGGATGGAAATGAGGGACCACACTGCCACCCAGCTAACTGGGACAGGCAGCTCTTTGCCTGCAGTTGGTCAGGCCTGGGGGTGGAGATCAGAGCAGGCCGGTGAGGGCCCGTTTCCCCTACAGTCAAAGCTAACCCCGGTAGTTCCCAAACAGTTTTCACACACTCTGTTTTCCCACAGGTCTTCCAGGTCAAGGTGGACATCACCAAGCTGCAGGAAGGTCTGCAGACTGGTCCCTGGTCACAGAGCTAGACAGAGCAGGCTGCCAACTGTCTTCTTGGCTAAAGTAGTTTTGATATTCACCCCCTGCCATAAAATTGCTATGTGGCTGGAGGAGGGTGGGGGCTAGTGGAGTAGAAGGGCCTGGCATGATCAAAACCACTGCCTACAGAGACCCCCCAGAACACTACTGGGAGCCCACAAACCAAACCACAGCCACCTCCGAGTCAGGGAGGGTCTGCTGTCCTGGTTGTCTCTGGGTGGCTTGGCCTCACAGTCACCTCCTGCAGGGAGCCTGCCTGACCTCTCCCTTCTGTAAGCTGCCTCTGCCTCCTCTGAACACCGGTTACCTATGTTCTGCAAATCCGAGCTGAGGATGGAGATGGACTCCCATTTCTGGAGATGCCCTCTGCCAGAGGCAGGCTCTTGGTTCAAAGTCAGTCTCGCTCGGAGCACCAGTTAAACTGCAGTGCTCGGCTAAAGATCAGCAACTGGGGCGTGGAGTCTACATTTCCAAGGGCCCCAATGGAACCAGTGCACTCCTGACTCGGAGGTCGGCATCTGCTCTGGACGTGGGGTCGGGAGATTCTGCACACCTGGAGGGTGGGGCCGGCTCCCTGCACTCATAATAGACGTTGCAAACTAGAGGCAGTGTTGGTTCCATCCTCTTCTGCCCACCTTGGGTTTCCAGGCACCCCGAGAGATTGGCTCCCAGCGCGCTTCCGGAGGTGTAGGTTCCCAGCGCCCTGTCCCAATACTCTAGCCAAGGGCCCGCTTAGGGCCCACAAAGCCTGGAACCCGGCCGTGGTTGAGGGCAGCCAACTGGGAAGCCATCCCCAGACTGAGCCTCCACCCCCCAGCCGGGCCAGCCCCGCCCGCGACGGCGAGCCCCGCCCTTCAGCCAGCCCCTCCACGATTTTCGAAACCAGCGACCCGGTGCTACCGGGTGGGGAGCCACAGTGAAACTGACCGCAAAAAGATTTTCCAAACATTAAGTTCCTCGCCCAGTACTGGCCTCTTCCCCCAAAGCCGTCCTCAACCCCCCAGCCACGCCCCAAGCGCTGACCCCGCCCCTGTACTCAAGGTCCACCGGACTCGGGACCTAGCTTGGCCCCTCCCTCACGGCCACACCCACCATTGCAGAGCTGTTCCCAAGCTGAACCAACACCCCTACACGAATCCCAGCCCCCATCTAGATCCACATACCCTTAATTCTGACTCAGAGCGCCTAGAAATGCCAGCCTTCACCCTGGACCCCACTACCTGCCACGCGGTTTGGGGCGGCCACAGCACGGGCCCAGAAACGCGGGGGCAGCCCTCCCAGTGGAAGGCTCTTCTGAGATCCATAGTCTTAGATGCCTGCAGACCTCGGGTCCGCTCAGTACCGATTTAACGGAGAGAAGTCTGCAGTTTTTAATTCAGCATTTTCATCATGTGAACTATTTTATAAATGAGAAGGCTAACCAGCCTAAGTACACGGGTTCTCGAACTTGCCCCAAATATGGAAGTGTCACCAAAGGGTTCACGTGAAATCAGAGGAAAGACGATTCTTCAAACCAAACTGGGGCAGAAAGGTTGCCATCCATTAAAATGTTCTGGGTTGTTTTTGTTGTTGTTTTGCCACCTTTGTACTTAAAAATCCACCAACCACAGATGAATCAACCACCAGGTTCAGGGCCTGCGGGATGAAAGTGCTGCCCTGGGATCGTAGGCGGGCGGCGGTCCGCGGCCCCCAGACTGCGGGCTCAGGCCGCCCACCCCGGTACAGGTGCCGCGCGCCCGCATCCGACCCGGGCAGGTGAGCGTAGGGCCGGGAAATGGGCAGCGCAGACTAACTGGCAGTGCGCTGGGCACTCCTTTCAGGAGAAAGCGCGGCCTCACAACGGAGCCCCTGGGGTCGGGCGTGCCCCCGCCGGCCGGATGGGCGGGGCTCCCACAAAGGGCCGCGGACTGGGAACCGGGACCGCCCCCCGCGTCCGCTGCCGCAAGCTCTGGTTTCGACAAATTAAACCTTAGAGCGCTGGAAAAATTACAGGAAGAGGAGAGCAAAGAATGTGCCGAGTGGCTAGAGGGAGCCATGTCCCCGCGTGCACTTCGCCCGCCGCGCGCCTCGCCCGGCCGGCCCCGCCCCTCCCGAGAGCGCGCCCGGGCGGCGACGGAGGGACCCGGGCGAGGGCACCCCCTTCCGCGAGGGTCTCGGGTGCCACGGCCGTCCATCTCCCCGACAGGCCTCCACGGCCCCCACCCAGCTCGCCCGCACCTGCCCACGCCGTCCCCCAATCTGGGCGGGTTCCCCGCCCCCAACCCAGATGACGACATCCGCCCCCGCGGTCCCGCCCGAGAGCGCCCGGGGAGGGGGCGTGCCCGGCGGGGGCGCGGTCGCCTGGCGGCTGCCGGCTCTGAGCACTGGGACACGCCTCGCGCGGCGCGCGGGGCCGACCGCAAGACCAAGTGGCGGGGGAAGGGGCGAGGCCCCGACTGTTCCCGGCCAGACTGCCCTCGCGCCCGGCCGGCGGCTCCGGGGGCGTGGCCCGGCGGCTGGCACTGGCCCCAGCCCGCGAGCTCCGGGAGCCCGGGCCGCCCTGTGTGAGCTCTCGGGTGCGCCTTGGGGTGCGAGGATTTCCTGGAAACTTTCTCGCAGCCTGCGCAGTGGCACTTGTGCTTTCTCTGCGGGGTCTCGAGGTCGACGCGACTTCGGCCCCGCCGGCCCCTTTGTCCGAGGCCGGGCTCGCTGCTGCCCGCGGGCCCCGGCTCCCGCTCAGGCTCCAACCCCCTGGGCCGGGGCTGGCTCCACGCCGGGCTGAGGGGCGCGGCCGCCGCGTCCTCGCTGCCGGGAGAGGGGGGCTCGGGGACTGGGGGCGACGTGGGCGGGAGGCGGCAGGGGGTCCTCGCCTTCCGAGCCGCGGCGCCCTCTCTGCGCTCCGCCTGGGCGGGCGCCGGTGCTTGCTGGTTGAGGTCCGCCAGGATCCGCGCCACCACGAACAGCGAGGCGCTGTCCTTGCCGTCGCGGCGCTCTTCAACGCGGGGCAGCGTAGCGGCTACAGCCGCGGCCGCGCCCTCGGGTCCAGGCTCCGGCCCCTCTCGCGGCCCGTGCACGACCGCGCGGCTCGACATGGACACGAGGCACTCGGCGGCGAAGTGGTCCACATAGGCGGCGGCTGCCATGCTGCGGGCTCCGGCCGGCGGGCCGGCGGCACTGCTCTTCGCTACGAGTCGTCAGCGACGCATCCGCACCCACAGCCTCCGGAGAGCGGGCGGGGGGCGGGGGCGCGGCGTGCCCTCTCTGCTGGCTGGACTGGGCGCGCAGCCGCTTCTGCCGTCACCCGCGCGGCTCCGCGTCCGCGAGGCGCCCGCCCGGCCGGGCACCGAAGAGTGAGCGCATGGGAGGTGGCGCGAACGAGTGGGGTCCGGGTACGGCGCCAGGGGCGGCCTGTCCTAAGGATGCCAAGCGGCGACGTTAGGAACGACCGCGCCAAGTCGCGGCCCCAGCCTCGCCGCGCATTGTGGCAGGCGGGACAGCCGCCGTGCGCGCCGCGGCTCGGTGTGGGCGGCCCGGCCCCGGGGGTGGGCGGGGCCGGGGCCACATCTGGACCCGACGTCAGCCCCCAGCCACATCCTGGCGGCGCAGGTTACAGGCGGCGGCGGCCGCGGGGAGCTGCGCGCGCGGAGGGGGCGGGGATCCTGGAGCGCGCACCGACAGGATAGAGCGGTCGCGCGCCCGCGCCCGGGGAGGGGGCGTGGCCAATGTCTGGGGCGGACCCCATTGGTCCGAAGGTGCACGGCCTGACCAATCCGAGCCGCAAGAGGAGCCTACCCCGCCTCGGGGACAGCGCACGACAATGGGCGTGCCTCCTTGCCGAGCGGGAGGAGGGGCGTAAATTGAAGCTGGGAGTCGGGCACGCTGACGCACGTCACCCGAAGGCGGTGGGCCGGGGCGGGGCTGCTGCCAGCCCTCCCCCGCCGCGGGGTCCCCGCGGGGTATTTTCCTGCCAGACCTTTTGTATTGTGACAGCCTGGAACCCCAGTGTGGAGGCGAGCGCTGGGGAGGGCGCCCCTTTGTCCCTCCAGCCCCGCCCGCGAGGGGCGCCGGAGGTGGGTGCGCCTCCGCGGGGCTCGCCTCCGCTTCTCTTCTGGAGCGAGGTTTGCACCGCGAAGAGGCGTGTCCGCTCCCGCTGGGTGCGGGGCTGTCGGCCGCGCCTGGAGGCGGAACGACTCCCGCCGCACCCTCCATAGCCAGGCTCCTGGGTGGCTGCGCCCGGAGACCAGGCCGATCAACCTCTCCACGCTCTTCCCTTGCTGAGCTCCGGGCCCTTGGCGCGTCCGGGCCGGGGGCCGGGAGCCGGGTCACGATTGGGGAGGGGCCGCTCCCGCGGGAGCTGTCCCGGGAGCTTCTCCAACTGGCCCCGGATGGCCGGGGACTCGGTGCGGGCCGCGCTGCCCTTGAGCCTGGGTCAGCCGGAGCCGGGCTGGCCCCGAGCTGGCGGTTAACCTGGCAGCGTGGGTGTCGTGCCCACAGCCTCCCTGTGCTTGCAGGAGTGAACTACGTACGTGCTGGGGCGGCCGGCGTGCTGTTCAGGGAACGTGGGGCCCCTTCCTCCCCCTCCCCGCCCCAGGCCTGCTGCCAACTTCTCTAGGCTGCCCCTCTCCCACCGCGGTCGGGGAGGCTTCAAACGCTGCCAGCTGCGAGGACCCCGCCCACCGCGCCCCACCCACCCACTGTCGAACCTCCCGGAGGAAATGCTAGGCTGCGCCCAGCTCCTGGTCTCTCCACCCGGGCCCAGCCGACTTGCCCTTGGACTCTCAGCGGCGCCCGCACTCTCACCCCCTCTGCCCTCGCCATTCTCCTCCAGGCCTGTGCCATCACCGGAGTGGCCGGTGCATAACTTCTTTAAGCAAGCCCCTTTCCGGACCCTTGCCCGCAGGCCCTGACCCAGGGAGACCGAGGCCCGGGCCTGCAGCCCTGGATCATTTGCCTTAGAGACGTTCGAACGTGTTAGCCGCCCGCGCAGGGAGCTTGGAGAGTGAGGGCCAGATAAGAGGGGTGGGTGGGGCAAAGTCATCCTGCGCAAAAATTAGGAGCAGACATTTCTCAATTAATATGGGGGCTGGGTAGAAACCAGGTAACCAAGGAGGAACCGGAACAGGGATTCTGGGCTGCATGTTATGGTGAATTGTAAACTGGCGTGGACTTTCTGGAGCACCTGACATTAACGTGCTCAAGTGCCCGCTCACTGATCTAGCTGGTGCACTCCGAGAAGACTCCCGGCGCGCTGGGCTGGGGTGGGCCCTGCAGTGATGCTAGGTCAAGCCCCTCTAAGAGGGTCTTCTTGGCAGGAAGCGATCATCTTCTCCCAGGCAGACTATGCAGACTATGTTGGTGACATTTAAGAGGTTTGTATTCTGACCAAATAATGGTTCAGAATGTTTCTCCAGTCCCACGTGTCCCAGCCAGTCACTTCATTATGAATGGAGCTGGCCCTACACTGACTTACCAGCCACCCATCCCCACTGGGTCCCTCTCCAGCCAGCAGGATTCGGCCCAGTCTTAGACACACGGTCTCTCCACCTTCTCCATAACCCCTGTTGTGACACCCCAGCCTGCACACACACAGGTAGGCCTCATTCCATTATGAGTGTGCACTAGTCCAAGCATTCAGCAAGACAACTGCCCTGAGCGAGGGGAGGCTGGCCTGGGTCAAGGGTCCTCTGCACTTCCTCCCCCCACTGTTGTACCCTGTGACATTCTGGATTCAAAACTCAGCCCCTTGAAGAGTTTCTCGAGCATATGATGATTGCTACAGAGTTCCCAAAGCCTTTTCTTCAACCCCACGTGGAAGCATCTTCCAGGCAGATAGAGTTCTCTTTCCCAGAGAAAATCTCGAGAGAGCTTTGGGCCCACGTGTTTCCTTGCCAAACAGGATTCTGACCAAGGCAGCTTACGTGCGTGTGTGTGCATGTGTGTGTGTGTGTGTGTGTGTGTGAGGGTGGGTGGGGATGGAGTGTCAGATGGATGGAACAGAATGAACAAAAGCAGGGTAGGGAAGATCAGAGATGTGTCTGGGAGGAGAGAGGCTAGACTGAAAGGGTGTCTGAGGTTTCTGGTGAAGGTGGTAGATAGCTCGGGGGGCTAACTTCCGAGTCCTCCCAAAACAACAGGCAGTCTGTTTGTAGAGCGGAAATCAGCCAGGGGGGAGCTAACAGCAACACCATTTCTGAAGCTAAAATACTTTTAGCAGAACTGAGAAAATGGAATTCTGAAATGGTAGCCAGGAAAGAAAGCCAAGAACAAACTCTGTCTTATTCCCTGGAGGCTCACGAAGGGGGGCACGAGGTGCCTCTAGGTGGGGGTGCAAGTGGGGGACTAAAATAAGAATAATTGGCAAAACGTCTGCTAAGGAAGCACTCTGACACCCAGATCCCTTCCTTAATTCTGTGCAGCCTTCCCCATCCTAAGACAAGACTGGATATTGCGCAGCTGGTGTGGCTCAGTGGTTGGAGCGTCATCCCATGGACTGAGAGGTCCCAGTTCCATTCTAGGTCAGGGCACATGCCCAGGTTTTGGGCTCAATCCCCAGTGGGGGGCGTGCAGGAGGCAGCCGGTTGATGTATCTCTCTCACATTGATGTTTCTATCTCTCTCTCCTCTCTTTCTAAAAAAGAAAAAATGATCAATAAAAACATATTTTTTAAAAAAGACTGGATATTTATTATCCAAAAAGGTAAAAGGGAGGGTCTTGGGCTGGGAGACACCAGGTAAAATAAGGGGCAGAGGTGCCGACAGGAACAGGGGATGAAATCAACAGATAGATATTGGATGCTGAGACCACCCCCTGTGCCCTTTCTGGGATTTCAGCCTTCGGGCAGCCCAGACGGGACAGGTGTTTCCTGGGGCATCAGACCAGGTCCCACCTAAACATTCTAATGTGCAGTGGCCCAATTAATCAGCCCGATCACTGCGGAGGGAAGGCCACAGTAATCCAGCCCAGCATGCGCACAGGGCTTCTAATCTGTCCTCCACAGGCAGCCCCAGGTGACCTGCCGGCTCAGGAAAGCTGGTGTCGTGGGATCGGCAGCCCCAGTGGAGTTTGAAAGGGCAGAGAAGGACACACCACTGTAACTGTCAATAGTGTTATCAGAGAAAGCTAAGAAGGCATGGCAACCCATGAAGGGAGGACATAGGTAAAGGCATTGAGAACAAGCAGTGTTCCCGGACTCTTAAAATAAGGTAGCAAACAATTTTAAAGCGTGAAGAAAAATGTATAAAAACCCTCAAGAGAGGGATTGGAGGCTCAAGTTGAGGACATCTCTGTGAGAGCAACACCCAAAAATGGAAAATAGAAGAAAAAAATAAGTAAAAATGAGAGGACCCTCAGGAAGTCCACTGATCAAAGAGTAGAACCCCCAAAGGAGTGATCGGGAAAACATAGAGGGGCTCAAGAAAAATCTCCCCAACTGAAGAACAGGTGTTGAAGGGGCCACAGGGAGCCCAGCACAGGGGGAAAATAGCCCTACCCCCAGAATAAAGGGGACAAAAAATGTCCCGATGTTAGAAGCAGGTCACAAAGAGCTTTCAGGAGTCAGAATGGCTGTGGGCTTCTCCACAGCAACAGGAAGAGTTAAAAGGCAAAGGACAAAGCCTTGGAAAATCTAAAGAAAAATTACTTTTCATCACTTGCCCCATACTGCGTGGGTCCTCGATACACAGAATTTTTCCCCCGGATAAATACTGTAAATGTATTTTCCTTATGATTTTCTTACTAACATGTTCTTTTCTCTAGCATCCTTTATTATGTGCTAATTGACTATGTTATCAGTAAAGCTTCCAGCCAACAGTAGGCTGTTACTAAAATTGGGGGGGGAATAAAAAGTTATAGTTGGATTTCTGACTGTACAAGGGGTCAGCGCCCTTAACCCCTGTGTTCAAGGGCCAACTGTAGTTTTAAATGCACGAGGTCTCAAAAATGGACCTTCCGTGCATTCTTTCTCACGCTGGGAAGCTACTAGGGCTTCTGCTTCACCAAAATGAAGACGTGAACACAGAAAGAGAGAGGCAGGTGAGCCAACCAACACGGGAGGGCGGGGAGAGGCCCAGAGGCCACCAGGCCAGGCCGGGCCGGTCGGAAGCTACAGGAACACTCCTTTACAAGGTGAAATAGATCGAATGTAGGAGAAGCTGGCTCATGTTGCTGCATAAACATCTTGCAGATCTCAATGGTTCTTTCTGGCCCTGCTGTGCATCCAGTGAGTCACCGGGGACACCCCGGTGGACGAAACGGGCTCTGTCTGGAGCATGCTGGCTGCCGCGGCAGAGGGACCGAGGGGCATCGCTCCAGAGCTGCCGCTCACGTTTCTTCCCTACACACAAGATGCACTTGTCCTTCCCCAGTGGGCCTGACCCACTCTCAGGAGCCTTTTAAATCTGACCTATGGGCCCTGACAGTTTGGCTCAGCGTTTGCAGCATCGGCCCTCGGACCAGAGTCACGGGTTTGATTCCGGCCAAGGGCATGGACCTCAGTTGCAGTTTGTCCCTGGCCCTGGT